AGTGTAGCTAACATTTACCAAGCACCTCGTTCATGAGAGACCCTATGCTAGGAATCTGATATACAATACCTACTGTAATCCGTGCAATATCCCTACAAGAAAAGGATTATAAACCTGAGCTTCAGAGGTTAAGAAAAGGGGCAGAGCACTAAATGTTCAGAACTCCAAGTGAAGTCTTGGAAGAATTATAAATAGGCCTAAACTGAAAAACTCCAAACGCTAGTGGGCTGGCTTCTTTTGCATCCTGGGTCCCTCCTGAATTCCCTAGCTCCCAGACTTGAACTGCTGCTGCAGTGACAAGGCAGTGCCTCAGCTTCCAGGGAATGCCAGGTAGAGGTCATCCCTTTGACTGCTGCACTACCTGTCCCCTTTGGAGATGGGGTAGCACAGAATCACGAAGTAATTGAATGACAAGTCATTGGGCCTCAAAGATATAATCAGGTAGCGTTTTTTTTTTTTTAACTTATAATGAACTTTCAGCAATAAAGAATGAATGGACGTCTATCTGTAGAATTCAATACCAACACCGTCACCACCACTGCCACTTCCTGGAGACGCATTTTTTTTCTCGGTGTTTTTTTTAAAGACTCAACTTTTAAAGAGTGGTTATTTCATGTATTCTTTAAATGTATTCATTTTTCCCCTAATTCCATCGATACACTGCCCCCACTGAATGTCATCCTTACTCATAAGCAGAGTAACGACTTTCCTGTAAGGTATGCTTTGAGAGGTACAACAAAAACTCCTTATGTTTACAAGTATTTCTTCCTGGCAGCTTCACATGATACTCCACGTCTTTCTCTAAGGAATTAGATGGTCAGGATAAACTGCAATAATAATAACAACTTTTAGTTAGAGAATTAACACATAATAAGCTATTATCACCTTTGAATCCATTGGCTTATGAGCCAGAGGTTAACTTGGGCAAATGGGGCAGAAATTCAGAAGAGTCCATTAAAGCAAACTGGGAGGTAATCAAGGGCCCATCCTAAAGTTTAGGCCCCAGATCAGGAAAGCATTCAAGAGCACCCATATAGGCCGCTAAAGGGGCAGGGGTCTGGAGGAAACAACCCAAAAAAGCATATTCCCCTTTCTTTTAAAACAAGAACACTGAATACAGCAAAGTTTATTAAGAAGTCCCATGGAAACGTCCCAGTATGGCCCAGCTGAAAGTGACTAAAAGTGCCTGAATGTCCGCCCTGCTACTGAGCCTTTAAGCGCTCCATTTCTGCCCCTTTAAATATAAAAATTCATTATTTTTAAGCAAAAGGTTAGATCCTTGCTTCGCAGTCTTAAAAACTTCATTTTACTCTTCCATTAAGAGCAACTTTACATGCAAATGAACTGTTGGTTTAACCGAAGACTGTTAAATTGCATCTCTTCATCTAAAATCCTTCTCCTAAATGTTAGGTATGAGTGATTTAAGTTATATCACACACGGAAAATAAACAACAAAGATTCCACTCACATTTGAGAATCATTTGCCATCCCCACTCCCTAAGCACCCTCAAATGGGAAATGGAATAACAAGACTGATCATAATTGGATTAAGAACTATAATTCTTTAATTCATTCATCAAATTGAGGCATTTGGAACAGTTTATTTACAGAGTTGTTTAGACAGTTTTGCATGGTGTTTTTTAAGATAAACCAAAATGCCTTTCTGAAAGAAGCTTCAGATCCCAAATCATTAACATATGAAAACCAAATGTAGACAATTTACAAATGGGTGTTTTAAAACAATGTTTGGAACAAAATTGGACTTTTATTTTATTAACTATCTACAACTCTAAGCTCAGGGGATAGTTTATTTGAAACAGCCAAGCACTCTCTTTGCCTTTAAAATAAATCTACATTTCTCAGGCTAAAAATTGTGACGAGTATGTGAGGGAATGCACTGACTTCAGGCCTAGACAATAAGTTTTCCAGGTTACTCTCAAAACTCTAATTATAGCATTCTCTACCACTAGGGGTGATCAGATATTGGGTGAATCATCCAGGTTACGCCAATCAATCATATCCAACAATGCTACCTGCTGGAAATCTAAATAGTGTTCAACATTAGAACTCTTAAGTTATTTGAAATCCAGTGTATTTTAGACTAATAAAAACAAGTTTTATCCTGCCCTGCATATTACATTTTTTATATAATCTAGACATACCTTGAAAACAATGACTGTCTATCACTCAATAAAGGATAGAGTTTTTACAAGAAGACGGTATATTCTTTTATCATTATATTTTTCATTTGCTTTAGAAGAGAAAAAATTCTCTAAGCATTCAAATTCTTTGGAAAATGCAATTTTAAACTCTCTCGACAGCTTGTGCTTTACGCTCAAAAAGGACAAAAAAAAAAAAGGAAGAAGCCATACCTGAGCATAAATTTCACTCTTCTTATTTACTGTTTACTCCATATTCTCCACAGATAACATCTTTATAAGCGTATATTCATTTTTTTTCTTTTACAAAACCATGTGTCAGTCTAAACAGGATGTGCATTTACATGTATAGAACTAAGTTAACTTGAAATAACCATTGGATCTCAAATGCCTAGTTATTTACCAAATAAGTTTGAGAGTTTTGAATCCTGTATGGCATTCAACCAGAACTGCTTAATCTCAACAAGAAAACTATATAGGGTTTCCGTATTAAGAGTTGAAGTTCTTTTTTCCTGTATTAAGAGTACTCTTGCAAGTCTGTATCAGATTGATTCATTATTGCCCATTCAAAAAGGCTACAGAAAGAGATTTTTTTTAAAACCCCCAGGCAAACAAAAACTCTGTTATTTCTTCACGTACAGGTTGTTAGAAGACCACTGGAAAGAAAGGACAAAAAAGAAAGAATTTCAAGCAAGTATGCTACTATATAATTAACACATATAACTAAATAATTATGCACATGCCTTCCCACGCCCACAATTAAATGTTTTTAAACAACTCATGTGATGAAAGATCTACCTTTTAGGCAAACAAAAGCAATCTCTACCAGTGTAAGGATTTAACTGATGCTGTGTTGCCTCAGTTTTAAGTGATGCTTATGATTTTTATCTTGTATACTTCTGAGGAATAAACAGTTGATGACATAATCTGCAGGAGAACTTTACACAATGCCTAAGAGAACTTTCGGTGTAAGTGCTTACGATTTTAAATCACTGTGGCTGAATTTATCTAGGCTTCAGCCTCAGAGCTATATTTAAATCAGGAAGAAGCACCCCCAGAAACTCTGTCCCATGTATCTGCATTTGAAACCAGATTCCTTCCCTATCAGAGCTAATAGCAGTTCACGTACAGCTGAATTCCTTCAAAATTAGATCAAAATTTATCAGCTCTGTAAAGACTCTAAGAAATCGTCCTCCTTCTAAATGCTATAAAAGTCAAACTTAAAAAACATTTCCGTATACTTTAAAACCATCTGGCCCTTAACCTAATCACGTTTGGCAATCGAGCCTCACTCCTTGTCATCCTGATCAAAAACTGCTCTGGTTTTTCTGATTGAAACGTCCATTGCCTACAAATCTCCCACCCGCCTACTGGATTGGCCTGTTACGTTTGTGGGGAGGGTTTTTTTTAAGGATACTAGGGGCCATTATTTATGAACAGCAAGGAAACAAATCACTCTGTCTAGTCCCTTTGCAGATTCCCACACTTATTACCCAAAATCCCACAGATCTCCCTTGGTCTTGCCTTTGACTAAAGAACTGTGCTGGGCCTAAAGGCAGTCTCTGGGGAAATCGGCTCATGCCTTTCCTGACAAACTCCTTTGGATATCTGGATATTGTGAGGATTCCCAACGGGGTGAGAACAAATCCCTAAACTTTTCTCAAGAAGTACTGCTGACTGCCACCCAGAGTGCCTGGGCTGGTGGACACTGAGAATATCATTCTGCAATATTCAAAGAATGCCTCAGTTTGACCCCTTTAATTGAGAAAGGAAGACATCAAAATGGATTCACATTCACCACACTCTGCATTTGGTCAGGGGCCAAAGTCTTTAGATATTCACCAGGGTCAATCTATTTATTAATAGATTTGCTTTGTAACGTTGAAGGAAAATGACTCAAAATATGTAAACAGTGCTTCGTGTACATCCGATGCCAGCAGACCAATACTCAACAAACTGCTGCTATCAAACGCAAACATTTCCAAATCCAATTTGATTTCAACTCGTATAACCTCTTTTCCTGGCTTATTACTGTAGCCCAAAAGTGCAAGCGAGATTTCCCAAACCCGCGCTTAAAGTGACACAACACGTGAGCGGTCTCCACTTGGTACACGGAGTGGGGTGAGGGGGGGGAAAAGTAGTTGCAATTAAAAATTAAAGCTTCCGGTGTCTGAAATCCCTAGAATCCTGAAGGATGAGACTCGTTTCCGAAATTCCGCGCCGGGGGGACGGGGGAGGAGGGGGGTACTTCTGGGGACAGGGATGGCAGAAAGCGAAACAAAAAGACGAACAGGGGGGAGCGCTCAGGTTGTGGGGTGGGCCGGGGGTCGCGCTTCTGTCCTGGGAAGGTTCAGGCCCTCCGGCCAACTTTGAGGGGCTGCCGTTTGGCGCCGGCCGAGATGCACGGGCGAGCCTAGGATTTTCCCTGCGCTCCTGCCCTCCTGGCTCATCACCACCTCCACCGCCACCACTTGCAAAACAATACCGGCAACAGCACGCAGGCTCCCCAAGCAAAATATAAAGTTATCGCATTTCCTGAACTGGGTCCAAGCCCGCACGCCGGGGACCCCGCGGACGGCCGCCCCGCGAGGGGGACGGAGCGGCTGCCAGCCTCGAGCCGCCTCCCGCCTCCCCTCGCCCCCACCCCGTCCCCCTCCCTCTGTACTTGAGGAAAACTCCGGCGGCGGCCCCCGCCCTCCTCCGCCGGCTCTCCAGCTGGAGCCGCGAACGAGTGCGGAGCGGCGGGCACGGCGAGCGGCAGAGGGGAGCTCGGCGCCTTGGAGGGCTGCCCACCACCACGTCGGGACCGACAACAAAGTTAAAACGCTGCGATTCACGCACCTTACCGGCTCTCCTCAACGTCTCCTCAGGCGCGGGATGCAAAGTGGCACAGTGGCGGGCTGGGGGCCCCCGGGAGGAGACTGGAGATGGGTTTGGTGGCTCGCCTTTTTCACTCTGTGTGTGTGTGTGTGTGTCTCTGTGTGTGTATCTGTGTGTGTGTGTGCGCGCGCGCGCGCGCGTCCCTCTCCCCCAGCCTCTCGCTCGCTCTCTCGCGCTCCCCGTGTAGCTCTCAAGGACGAGGTGAAATCCCTTTGCTGGTCATGAGGCGGCTTCAGAGACAAACAACACAATGCGAGTGCAAATAACAAAAGGCAAAAAGACAGTCGGAACAATGGGGGAAGCGAGGGCAGCGCACCCGCAGCGGGTCAGCGCGGCCGGCGCCCGCCCCGGGGGGTGCGGCGGGGGCGGGGGCGGGCGCCGGGGGGCGGTGCCGGGGGCTCGCGCTCCCTCCAGGTCGCCCCCGGGCTCCCGCAAACCCACCCTGACCTCCTTCCTGCCGCTCGTCGCCCGGCCGCCCTCTCTGTCCATCCGAAGGGAAGGAGCCCCAGAGTTTGCTTCCCCGGCTGCTGCAGGGTAAACTAGATGGTAAATAACGCGGCGATGACCCACACCATGCAGGAATGTTTCAAAACAATACACAACAAAACAATCTGCCCTCCACTTAAAAGAGCGATAAAATGAAATGGCAGAAGGGGAAGGAGGCAGGGAGAAGGGGAATCTCTCCAGATCTCGGTGGAGCTCGCGTTTGTAAATACGCCTTCATGTTTGGTCAAGTCCCCTTTGTCAACTTCTTCCCTGCGCTGGAACCTCACCCGCTGTCCTGTAACCATTACCTGGGCCCCTTCGCGCCCCCCACCCCCGTTTGCACGCGGTAAAGCCGGCACGGAGGGCGCGCGTGGAGGTCTGCGGGTGTCCGCGGAACCTTCCGGGAGAGGCGAGCCGCCGTCCGCCCAGCGCCAAGGCTGGAGCGGCGAGAGGTTGGGTTTTTAAAGCGACCAGTGCCTCCCCGAGAGCGGCTCTGCGCCCGCGGGTCCCCGCCGCCGGCACTTTGCACCCACCTACTCCTTGGCGGAGGGGGGAGGGGGGGAGAAAAGTTTTGAGACGCTCTCATCTCTGCCTCCCGGGCGGTTGAACTGGTTTTGTTTTGTGTGTGTGTGAAGCCCGAAATCCCAGTGCCCAAGAACCGGGGAATGATGTTCAGGGGTCTAAAAAGGCTCGGCGCTGGGCTTCGACTCCTTCGTCTGCGACAGTGGAGTCGGCGCAGGAAGGCGAGAGCGAGCCCCTCGGAGTTGCATCACCATCGGAGGAAACTCCGTAAGTGATGCCCCGAGCAGAAGCTGTGGGGCTGATTTGTGTGTGCACTGACAGCTCCCGGGCTGCTCCAGCGCTTCTCTCTACCAATCTTACTTTCATTGACTTAAAACAGCTGCCGGTTTGCCCCGGGGCGGGGTGGTGGGAGGGGGGAGGGGAATCGTATTAAATCTCAAAACTAGGGTGGAGCGGGGGAATCCTGACAGATCTTCCCAGATTTGGTGTCCAGAAAGGGACAGGGAGGGAGGTGTCTCGAGGGAGGCAGCGGGTCTGGAGGAGGGTGGCGGAGAAAAGGACTAAGACACAATACGAGCAACACGTTTCTTTTTCTCGCTGTTCCCTTCCTCTTCTCTAGCTTGAGGCTGATTTGCATGTTCTCTCTCCTCTTCTGGGCGATTTTTTTCAGGCGCGCATCCATTGACTGAGCCACGTCCCTCGGAACCCCCAGCATTTCCCAGAGTGCAACAACACCACCCGGAGATCAATGGCCAGTCTGTTTATTCTTCACGCTCCTGCAAGAGCAGGGCACTGAAGGAGCATGGGAGGGAGGCTTAGGGCTTGCCTGTCTGCGATCTCTCGCAGACTTTCTAGCTGATTTCTAAACGGCAGCTAGCAAGCAAATAAGAGTTCCTTAAAGCACGCAACACATGCCCATCACAATATATTCACCGAGAAAAGTGATACATCCTTTCTCCCCCTTTCCACCCTTTGTAGATTTGTCTCTGGAGGTGGATTGCTAATACCTGAGGTTTTTGCACTTGTCTAGGGCAGAAACTTTCTGGGGTGTTTGACGATTGATTATTTGGTACCTGCTTTCTAAAAATGGCTAAACACCTTTCCTTAGAACAAAAGTGAGAAATGCAAATCTTAATAACTCAAGGCAAAAATTTCAAAGTGTAAGCACAGTTATTATCCACTCCCACAAAGAAAACTTCCTCTTCCACAAATATTTGATAGCATAGAGCCCAGTAATTAAGAGAACAATCAAATAAACTCCAGGCTTTCATGGGGACTCTAAATTATCATCGGCCTGGAATTTATAAGCAGTGAAATCATTTGCCAACTTGGGCATTGCTCTAGATATAGCATTCTAAATGTGTATCCTTAAACAATTTTACTATGTTTTCTTAAGTATTTAATGAGAGAGACCATGGATAATAATATTCAAATTGCTGGATCAATGTGGCCTCACCAACTGTGTGAAAAAATTCTGTGCATGTGTGCATGAAACATCTTGCCTGTATGTTACTTTTCCTCACATTGACTATATCATGCAAGCTTCAAGTCTGAGCCACTTGTGTAGTAAGACTACAAGAATTCATAAGAATGCATCAATAATTGTATTGTACCTGGAATTTAAGTGTAATTTTTATTCTGAAGAGTTCTTGGCATACATTAAATGATTTATTCTCATAATACATATGTAGCTGCTTTTCACAGTTAGCTATTACTACCCAGATCCTTATATAATGTGCAAGAAGCAAATCAGGCCAACTGCAAAAAAAAAAAAAGGGGCCCCTCACTACCAATTATATGAAAATAAGTAACATTTGACAGGGGGTTGTTATTTACAGTGAACTACTTCCTCTCAGCCCATACTCAGTGAAAATAAAGGGACAGAGTGAGTCCTTTCCCCCTACCTCTCTAGCCAATGGGTGACAAGTGTGCCTGGTTGGCCTAACCTCACCAAGCAGAGCAGTGCTGCCTTCTCAGGGTTTCAGCTTCTTCTTCAGCGTAACAGCTTCGGGGACCAGCAGGCTTCCTACTTGCAGGAGAGGAGAGGCTGGGCAGAGGGAAGAAGGGGCACAGTCACAAGCTGCCTGGTGAGATGTTGGTGAAACTTGAATTACACCAACCTCTCCTTTTTTTTGCTCCTACAGGCAGCAGAACTTCCAACCATTTACGGTTATTGAAACCACATGGCCTTAAGACTAACACATGATCGTTATATAGCAACAGCATAGCTGATCAAAAACCTCCAATGGAATGTTTGTGTTAAAATTTTTAAAAATACCCATATTTAAAGCGGGACTGACACAAGAAAGATCAATGTTTCCATTTATCAAGCATTTACCACGTGCCCGGCTCTTGGCCAAGTGCTTTTTTTTTTTTGCGTTACGCGGGCCTCTCACTGTTGTGGCCTCTCCCGTTGCGGAGCACAGGCTCCGGACGTGCAGGCTCAGCGGCCATGGCTCACGGGCCCAGCCGCTCCGCGGCACGTGGGATCCTCCCGGACCGGGGCACGAACCCATGTCCCCTGCATCGGCAGGCGGACTCTCAACCACTGCGCCACCAGGGAAGCCCCCAAGTGCTTTTTTAATGTATTTCTTCCCTACTTCTTACCACAAACTTGTAAGAAAGGTTACATCCCTGTTTTGCAGATGAGAAAGCTAGAGCTCAGAAAGGTTAAATGACTTGCTCCAAATCATACAGCTTCTGTGGGTGTGCCAGGATGCCAATCCATACTGCTCCAGCTTTAAGCTTTTCCACTGCATCTGGGCTCACTGACACTTTATATTAGGGCAAGTCTCTCAGTGAGAAATATTATTTCATTAAATGCGTAGATTTAAAATACGAAATTTATACTATGTGCAGTCCAGACATGAGCTATGATGGCATTCTCACTCATGTTGGTTATTAGATAACTGTGAAATTTCCAAGAAAATCTAAATGTGCCGTATAAAGGAGTATCCATATATATTAAATATAAAAGGTATTTAGCAATATATACAACTGTCTTATTTTGTAGGCTAAGCATTTTATATTATATGTATATATTCATATGACAAATAATAATAATAGCTAAAGTTTTAGAACCTGTATAATTTTACAAGCATTGTTCTAAATGCTTTACCTGTATAAACTCATTTAATCCTCACGACCATCCCATGAGGTACATAATTTTATTATATCATTTTATAGGTAAGGAAACTGAAGCACAGAGAGGTTTTATAATTTGTCCAAGATTACACAATTGGTAGGTGAGGGAGCCTGGACTCAAGCCAAAGTACTCTAGATTTAAGACCTTATCCACTTTGTTATGCTACCTTTCAATATATATACTCAGATGTATATGCAGTGTACATACATGTACTCATAGAAATATATACTCCAGTTGTTCCTTGATTAACACAGGTTTGAACTGCGCAGGTCCACATATACGCAGATTTTTTTTTCAGTAAATACCACAGTACTACTCCATCTCCAGTTGGTGGATCCCCAGATGCGGAGGGTGGACTATGGGATTTGAGAATCCAGGGATTTTGGTATCCAGACAGATCCTGGAACCAGTCCCCCATGGATCCCAAGGGACAACTATGTAGATATGACTCTCAAAATTTGGGGGAAAGATAAAGGCATATCAACTGAGATTTGTTGCATCCCCATATTCAAATTGCCTCCTAAGGCACTAGAAATATTATTGATGGGAGAGGTATTTACATTTGTCCAAGGTATTAAAGATTCTCTAAAAATTTTTGAGACAATCTCAAGCCCCCCAACATATTTGGAGGCATCGGGGGAGTGCTAGTAAATACGTATTAGGAGTGGACGATATTTGACCCCAGTTGACTTGTACAAAGTTCATTTTGGATGTTTTTGGTCGTATATGTTAAAAAGAGCAGAGACAGGGTGCTTGGCAATCCTAAAGAAGATCGAGAAGGATGCTAATAAATACGAAAATCTGTGACCTGAGAGGTAGAGGGAAATTTAGAGAATGCAGGAAACCAAATATATCATGTCATCATACGGTTTACGAATTATCCATTTTTATTATTTTTTTAAGTTAGGGTAGTTTGTCAACCCTCACTCCATTAACAAGAGTATATTATAAAATGGTGATTTATGTTTAACGATTATGAGCTTAAACACTGACATCCTTCAAAGGAACCTTAAAATATTTGATAAGAATCCCAGGTATATGAGTGCTTTATGCCATGTCTATTTTGACCTGTCTCACCAAACACAGCATGCATATCAAATTTTAAAAGTGAGCTTCTCCAAATCAAACAGCTTTGAGAAAATATTGTGAGATCTTCTCTTTCTCTCCTTCTC